TTGATATTTGCAGCTAGCTGGAGTTCCATCGCAGCCTTGGCTTTGACTGGCAGTATCCACTTCTGTCTTGACTGGCAGTATCCCCTGCTTTTTCAATTCTGCTTGGCTACACAGCTCTGCCTGTGCACCTCATTTGTGACCTGCACCCTAGCTGTGCAATCCTTTGCCTCACACACAAGCCCTAACAGTATTTCTCAGTCCTGAACTGCAGCCTCCACTCTGCTATTTGAGCATGGGAGCTTTGAAGGTCTCTGCGAATACACCTCAGACCTAATTTTGCACTCGTTGGGTGCATCTACACCTGCAAGTAATGCTATTTAGGCTTACTGTGTAGTAAAGCCAGCTCTGGGAAAGTGTCTACATGTGTACCGTTGGCAGCAGATTTGCTCTTTATAGGATTAAGCAGATCCAGGCCTGCCCCTATCCTGCTCTGACATCCTGCAGCAGCCAGGGGGAGCTTCAGGCTCTGGATGCAGCTGCCCAGGTGCCAGGGGTCACCAGTGGGGGCAGACTCAGCCTGGCAGGGATCTCCAGTGGGGGCAGGATCAGGTTGATGGGTCTCCAGGTTGAGGTGAGGGCTTAGGCTGGCATGGGTCTCCAAGGGGAAGGTTCATCCTGGCAGGGGTTTCAGGGGCACTGGCTCAGGCTGGCAAGGGTCTCTGGGGGGGTGGGCTCAGCCTGGCAGAGTTTCCATTGCTTCCAGACTCAGGCTGACAAGGATCTTCAGAGGAGCCAGGCTCAGACTGGTAAGGATCTCTAGGGGGAACAGGCTCAGGCTGGCAGAGGTCTCCAAGGGGGCAGGCTGTCTCTGCACCTTAGCCTTGCCCCAGGCCACAGTTCAATTGATGGTCTCCTTTGCTGCCCAGTTTGGGTCTTGGGATGCTCTCCCCAGGGTCAGGGATGCTGCCATCACTGGTGCTGCCTTTGCAAGGGACTCTGGGTCCATCAGATCTGGGCACATACCCACAGCAGAGAGGCATGATACCCAAAGGCTAGGCAGCTGGAGGTACAGGTCCTGAGGATCAGGCCAGTGGCCTGTAGGACTGCTGGAGCTGACATGTGCTTACAGTGCAGAGGCATAGTGCCCAGGGGCCAGGGAGCAGCCAGCAAAGGCCTGGGAGTCAGGCTGGAGCTCTGCAGCTAGTATGTGCCCAGGGCAGGGGCATGGGGGCACATGCCCCCCCAGATCTGTGCGTAGGGTGGGGGCAGATGCAGGCTGTCTGCTGCAGGCTCAGGCTCCTCAACCTGCTGCCCTGCCCCTAGGGCCCTGCGCTGGCTATGCCACCATGGCAAGGCACCCTGTTCTTGCCTGCCTGGAAGCGGCAGGGGTGGCGGCAGCATGGAGTTGTGCCGCCTGCTGCTGCCAGGCAGGCATGGGGTGCACAGCTGGTGTGGGGCCCCTGAGAGAAAGGCAGCAGGGTGGGGAGCCCCGAGTCCTCAGCAGGCAGTCTGCATCTTCCCCCTGCTCTGCTCGCTCTGGTCTGGAGGTAGTGGCAATGGTGGCGGTGAGAGGAAGATGGAAATGTGTCTCACCTTCCTCTTTTGAAAAGGTGGTCACCCTAGTCAAGCCAGGGTTCTAGGGGCCAGCCAGGGACTGTGACAGAGCTCCCAGCCACCTGGCAGGAGGCTGGCCCTTTGCTGGTCTGAATGACTGAGAATAGATACAGGTAGCAGATTTACTGTGCGTTAACCGATTTTACTGTGCAGTTGCTCAGCTTGTGATTACAGTGATGCTGTACTGCACAGCAGATTAGTCTACTGCGCAGTAAAGCATTTTGTATAAATGCACGCATTATAAATTAAATTGATCTGTATGCCTAAAACCAGCAAAAGGCCTGTACATCACTCAAAACCCACTTAAACTCAGTATGAAAAAATGTTGCAGGAAGTGGCTGTTGTTCACAGATCTATTCACTGTGTGCTGTCCATGAGTTACTATTCACCATTCATTATTCTCTTGTTTAAAAGTTCAGTCACCCACTCAGCAACCAGAAACAATGCCATGTGACTTAAGTGATTGGTCGCATGCCACAAATACCAGCTAGTGAATAGGCAATATGTGAGCAGCCTTTTGGTCTCAAATTGCTTTTCCAGACAGTTTGGTGCATACAGCAAACTCACACATGGAAAATCAGGCTTGATTTCTGAACAAACAAGATCTAAAGCAGATGAATAATCCTGGCCAAACTGATAATGTTTTAAAAATATTTTATTAATTTCAGATCAGTTTTTGTTTCTGAGATCTTTCTTGTTCAGCGTGGGTATTAGTGTGTGCATAGATTACATTTATTTTAACAATATTCCTCTTTCTTCTGTTCAGCTTGTGATTGTCACCCTGTTGGTGCAGCTGGTAAAACCTGCAACCAGACCACGGGGCAGTGCCCATGCAAAGACGGAGTGACGGGACTCACCTGCAATCGCTGTGCTAAGGGCTACCAGCAAAGTCGTTCACCAGTTGCTCCATGCATCAGTGAGTAACAGTCAGCTCTGCCTAGTTCTAACTTTGTCTGTGTTCCAGTGAATAGGGATTCATCAAGTCCCAGAACACTAGAACTCAGGGGTACCCACTGAAATTAGCAGAAGACAGTTTTAAAACTAACAAGAGAAAGTACTTTTTTATTCAGCATACAGTTAACTTGTGGAACTCACCACCATAGGAAGTGGTGTAGGCAGATAGAATAGTCAGGTTTACAAAGGGACTAGGCTGATTCATGGATGATAAATCCATTACTTGCTATTGAACAGTACAGTCAGAGATGTATCTCCTGGAGTCTCTAAATCAATGATGATGGATGCTGGGGAAAGTATTGAATAGAGAATAGATCACTATAGATCAGGGATTCTCAGTCCCTGTCCTCCCTGTCCTGCATACCAGATCTGCCCCATACAGCCATGACATCCAGGCTGCAGGGTTCCCCAAAGGTCCAGAAATTTGTCTGCAGAGGAGCAATGGCAGCATTAATTGTCGCTCCCCTGCTGCCAAATATCTGGACCCAAGCAGAGCCCTGCAGGCTGGACAGCATGACCCTGTGTGCTAGATTGGGCATTCAGGCTGGGCAGCACGAGGTGGGATTCAGGCATGCAGGCTCCAGTGTGGACAGCACAAAGTGGGATCCAGGCAATGTGAGGTAGGGTCCAATTGGGGCAGTGTGAGATACAATGTGGATGCATGGGGCCTGATCTGAGTGGTGTAAGGCAAGATCTGGGCACACAGGGCTGATCTAGGCATACAAGACCCAATCTGGGTGGCAGGGAACTGGATCTGGGTGCACAGGGCCTAATCTGGGCAGCAACCCTGCAAATCTGACCCACGGATTGGCCCCATGCTCCTCTGCTGGCCCACAGGGCCAAAAAAGTGACCACTGCAGTTATAGATGTACCCTGTTCAATGCTCTCCCTCTAAAGCATTCACTCATACCACTGTCAGAGATAGGATACTGGGCTAGAGGGACCATTGGTCTGACCCAGTATTGCACTTCTTATGTTTCTGGATTATATCTCTTCACTGCCTTTGTGGGTGAAAAGTTGATTAGCCATTGTACTGACTTGTGTATTGTATTATTACTGTAGTACTGTGACCTGCAAGCTTATCTTCTCTTAAAACTAAGTAATCTTGTCCTTGATCAGCAGATGACTGGAAACCCCAAATGGTTCAGTACTAGAATTGATGCCCTAGAAGGCTGTGTACCTCTGGAGAACTTTTCATGAATGTTCCAATAACCATTTGGGAACTCTGTGGGAGAGGTTTCTTCACTAGTCTACCTCTTTCCCACTGGAGCTGTTGTCTGGCTGTCTGGATGGGCAGCCAATGCAGGCTTTCACTGCCACATGGGCAGCAATGGGTTGTAGTGGAACTGGAAACCTTGGGAAGGCTGTCAGAGTCCATCATGTTCCTTGCCTCAGGGAGGGAACAGAACTGGAGCCTTCTTATCTCTGGAGCACACATCTCTCTCCAAAGTTGATCTCAATGCTGCAGGGAACACAGTGGTGGCTCTTCTGGCTCTTCAGGGAACAGTGGTAGCTCTGGTGACTTCTCTAAAGGTTACCTGAATTCTTTTTTCCCCCACCGCAACAGTAGTAGAATTATCCTAGAATCAGTGAAAGCCTGACAAGGTCTTTCTGTTCTAAAAGCAGAACCAGGAGGAAAGAGGAAGAGATAAAAAAGCAGAGAGCATTTCTTCCAGGGCTCAGCCAGTGGTAGTAACAGTCAGGGGAGAGAGTTTTCTTGTAGAGGTTCATAGAGAGCATGACATCACCCACGCTGGCCTCATCCCTTCCATTCGGTTTCTCACCTAAGACTCTGCCACCCACCCATATACACGGGCTGTGCTTACCAGTCCGGGAAGTGGAGAGCACAGTTGGATCCAACACGAAGCAACTGCTGAAATTGTATATCTGTGCACAGGTAGGCACTATTGCACAATGATACCCTGAACTGCCATGTGGGATGATCTGGGTTTATTTTCTACTCTTGATATGAGACTATGTATTGTAACAAATCTGTTCCTATTTAGGACTTCCTGGCTGTGGCAATGCTACAACCATAGATAGCTATTCAGATCTTCATGGCAACCATAAGCACAGACCTAGATCCTCTTGCTCCTGACCACAGATCTACTACTTCCACTTACGTGCTAGCCATGTGTAAAATAAGGCCTGTAATACATGCATATGAGCACTTCTGATTCTATCCCATGAGGGGCAGAAGTGACACCAAGTTATGGTTCAGATCATTAAACCTAGAGGTTCAAGATACTATCTTCCTCTATCTCTGTGGATTCTGGGTCAGGTACTGCTCGCAGTTATATCACTGCAATTCTAGAGTACAGGCCAGTTTCTGGTTGTCCTGAAGTCAGGGTAAAACTTCCATTTTCTTTGACGACAACAAGATTTGGCCTTAAGTGCAGAGGGCCAACTCCCCTCCTAACATGACTGCTGATTTAAGTAGAATTATTCTAGCTGAGAATTTGGCTGCTGACTTCAGTGGAGTTCTTTTAGATTTTAGTATATAAGAAAGCAGAATTCAGCCCACTAAGTGCTGGTCCACCTACACAGAGAATTGTCTGTCTTAGCCACTCTGCTGGTATGCCTTGCTTGTCTACACAAGATCACACTGATCACCAGATTTGGGTTGGGAAAGAAAATTTCCCCCAGGCTCGACTAGCAGGGAGCTTGAGAGAGTTTTGCCTTTCTTTGCAGCATGAAGTGTGGGTTGCCTGCTATTGTCCTCTGGGCACATCTCACTTAATTAGT